ACAGCAACAAGCCGATATGTAAGTTTCTTAGATATAGCTTTATTTACATATAGTAAACTATATACAATACACAAAAATGTGATATGTATAAAGTATTTAAAAGTCAATAAAGCAAGGCCCAGCTGGTGTTTAAAAATAAAAAAAATATATATATGATATGATTATGCAAAACTGATTTTCTTCTTTTTCAGCTTGGATTAAAGCACTTAATGGCAAGCATTTTTTTAAAGGCAAAAAATTGGTATTAACCAATATATTTTTAGAGCCTAGCTGTAGCGGGATGAACATTGGTCAAATAATCAAAGGAGAGAATTATGTATCTTATTTCAAAAGTGTAGAGATAATTACATTGCTCTCTATCAAAATAATCTCACCATGATTATCTGTAATAATGTGGAGTTTGCAGATGTAACTCTCACCTTATTTTTTCTAATTCAGCAAAAAATGCGAAAAAAGAACTTCATATTAAGCAAGCATCCCATGGATATCAAGAACCTATCAAGTGCTCTATCTTTGTGAATGGTTGTGAAGTAGGCGATGATATTTTAAAGAAAAATGGAATCAGTAATAAAATTTTAATGATCAGTAATGATCTTTCAATTGTGCAATTTTGCAAAAAATCGCATGTTTGTATGGAACAATGCACTAAAGGTAATTCAGATTCATGTTTGAACAAATATAACTTCTTATAACACTATTTATATTATACATAGGATTTAAGCAAGAGTTAACTGTACTCTTCTCATATTGGATGGAAACATATGTTCAAATTACAAGATGTTGCATAACACGTTATACAAAATTGAAAAACGGCATACAGATGGTATACAGTCCATTAAAACATCACATGCATTCAGAGAAGTCCTAGCTGAACTTGTTCAGAATACACGAAAAGTATTTATTGTGAATTAAGTTATTTATAATAAACAATAATTGCTAAATAAACATTCTGATCTTAGGTCATCAAGTCCCAGAAAAAATTAGTCAAAGATCTTTATGATCGTTTAGAACAGAAGTTTGAAGCAAAAGAAGAAAATATATCAAAACCATTGACCAAGATCATTTACAATGTAATTGAAGAAGTTAAAAACAAAGAACATGAAGATATACCGAATATTATTTTAAAAGAGCTAGTTCGTATACAAAGTGAAAAGCCAAAAGGAGTATAATATCATCCCATATAAGTAAAGATAAAAGTAATATTGGTATATTTTATTTAAATTTACTAATCATATAATTACAGGTTCATTCGATGGGCAATATCAATTTACAATAGAGGTTCTGCTGCTTACAAAGCAATGAAATCTATTATTCGGATGCCATCACTATCAATACTTAAGAACTATATCAATGAAACTAATCAACATACTGGTTGACAAGACAAGGCAGTAAAGTGAATGATAGCAAGCATGGAAGCAAATAATATGTGGGGATATGCACGATTAGGCTTTTTTTCACATGATTCATTTAAAATACAAAAAGGTTAGGATAATAAAATGTTTTAATTGCAAGAAGCCAATTTAAATACTAGTTTTTTACTTACTGTAGGACTTTTATGGAGCCAATGCAACAATAAATATGTTGGATATATTGATTTTGATGAAAATGCTGAACTTGAAGCATTTAGCGAACAATGTCTTCATGATGTTCAAATTCATGTTAACGATCATAAGCAAACCGAAAATAAAGATAAAAAAGACCATGAACATGCCTTAGCAACCCAAGTACATCAAATTGTATGGCATTCAATATCTGATGCTTTTAAGTTTTTGATAGCCTATTTCGCAATTTAAACAATAGATGTTCACACTCTCAATACAATTCTCTTTCACTTGGCTACCAAGCTTGAATGTGTGGCAATTCATACATGTGAATCAGTTTGTGATGGTGCAGGTGAAAACAGAAGACACATTAAAAGCTTTGATTGGTTCGCAACAACCTGGAAGGTGTATAATAAAATGGAAGTTCAGCTATCAAACTGATCAGAAAAGAAAAGCTACCAACCCGCCACAATAATTTCCTTTAACCCAGAGCATACCAAATTTTTAGTCCAGCTTTCAGGCA